ACTATGTTTTCCGCACATGAGATCTTTGGGATTACACTCTGATATTGTTTTATTATAGCATGTTTTGATTATTGACACTTTGGTTTTGACATGGGATGTTATTATGGATGTTTTTATACCTTTGGTTTTATAATAACTTAATTAAAAATGAAATTTTTGGTTTTAAATTTTGGGATGTTACAAATTGAAGGCATGAATCCGTGCAAATTTTCAGTTAGGCAGTTTCTCTCTAAGAACTGTCGTATTCACGAAATTGAAGGCATGAAACTGTACAAACTGTCAGTTATGCAGTATCTTTCTAAAAACTGTCGTATTTAAGGAATTGAAAGTTTAAAACTATACAAATTGTCAAAATTGGTCTTGTTAGTTATCTTTACCTAAGAACTGTCATGGCACCAGGGCGATTCACCCAACTGGGAAATAGATATCGCTGAACATCTCGCGCAGGTTCTTGAAATTCTTTTTGTCATGCAAAACTGTTGAGACTCAAATGTATTCTCCGATACATTCCTCGCAGGTAAGGAATTAACGGTTATTGGCACTAGGGCGATGCACCTCACAAGGCACGATTATCGCTGAATGTCCCGGCAAAGGGCCTTGACCTTGTGTCATGCTAAACTGTGGAAATATGTCTTCATATACTTTTAGGATGGTTTTGTGAGTTATTCCTAAATAACTCTCAATGGCACTAGAATGGTACACTCACCTGAGATTCAGAAACCATTGAATGTCTCGCCAAGGGCTAAGTTAACTTGTTAACTTGAAAAAATGTATTGAGATATTTGATCGAGGATATGCTGGGGCTAACATCAAAAATAGATATGAGTAGTTCTCCGATACTCAACAAATCGCAATGCGTTCCTCCGTGTTAACACAGGTACTGCGAGTAGTCTCCATCTGAGCCAAGGCTGAGTCCTTGAACAACTGTGGTGAGAAGGGTCTTTATGACTCTGTTATCCACAGGGACTTTTAAGTCATGGTTACTTTTTAAGACGCATCTGTGATCGACGAAGAATACTCATTCGAAGGAACACGAAGTGAAGATTATTTTTCAACACACAACCTTTCAACCCTAGAAGCAATGTGAAGCTGTATTTGAAGTTATGTGTCGAATTGCATTGAATCCTCTTCAATCAATTTGCTGCTATCTATGAACTTGCTGAAGTGATCCAGAAGAATCGGTCTCTCTGTAATTATCTCTGAAGTTTTTCAAAGCTAAAAGTGCTTATTTTCAAAAACCTATACAAGAAGCCTCTATACCCAATGTGTGTTCAAATTAAAATTTTAAAGGAAGTCCAACTATTCAAGATAAAGACATTCACGTAGAAATTCATATGTTCATCTTGAAGTTGTGAAGAAATTGAAGATAAAGGCTGAAAGTCAAGAACAAAGAGACGATTGAAAAGGAAAGAAAGCTATAAACCAAGAGGGAGATTGTTAGGACATGATTTGTGGTTTATACTTTACTTTTAATAGCTTTTAGAGTTCTCGGTCTAGGACCGAAAACACCATGTTTTCGGTGGTGTTTGGACAGAAATCACCATCTGATTTCGGTGGGCTTAATGATGATTTCGGTTGGGTTTTGGGCTGTGCCTTTGTAATTAGGTCTAGGTATATATTGTTTTGTTTCAGCCGTGTTCAAGGTTGGTCATTCTAATAAGTTGATTTCGAGTTTAGAGAGAGACAGAGAAAACCGAGAGACATAGAGATCTTATGTACTAGACTATTAATCAATATAGTGTGCATTGAAGATTCGATATTGTGCTCTTAATTCGTTATAAATGTTTTGCGTTAATCATTAGATTAAGATTCCACACCAATTCTAGTGATTTCGATTGATACATTAGATCGGGTTTTACAATGTGGCCAAATGTCGTATATGGTCTGATGAGTTAATTGTTTATATGTCTTAATCATAGAGTCAAGTTTGTCACACATGATTTCAATGTAGTAAAAATCTGGTACGTATGGTCATATAACTTATTATGAGTGTCTAAAGTTTAGCGTGTGCTAACTTGCTAAAAGCTAATGTGTATAGTCACATGTTATTTCTAGCATGATCATGTGACTATATAGCTTTATAATAGCTACACCATCTCAAAAATGTGTATCTAAATGAAATATATGGCTACATTTTAAGTGATTATATGTGTCTAGTATATTCATAACAGTCACGTCGTGAAATATTCATGTGGCTATTATTTAGAGCAAAAATGGGCAAAAACGGTTATCATTAAATTTGATATTAGTACATTGAGTGTTTGTGTGTCTAAATCATGATATATATATATATATATCATGATTATATATATATATATATATATATATATATATATATATATATATATATATATATATATATATATAAACAATTACTTCATGAAGTAATTGTTTATATATAGATGGTCACATGAAGTAATTGTTTTTATATATATATATATATATATATATATATATATATATATAAACAATTACTTCATGTGACCATCTATATATATATATATATATATATATATATATATATATATATATATATATATATATATATATATATATATATATGGTCACATGAAGTAATTGTTTATGTGTCTAAATCATAGAGTCGAGTTTGTCATACATGATATCAGTATAGCAAAAATCCAGTATATATGGTCACATAACTTATCTAAATACTTGTGTGTAAAAGAGTAAAACCGCGGAATAAAAGAACATAAGTATTCAACAAATAAAGAACATACTTTATTTATCATTTTTTCATTTTACACACAATGATTCAGAAAGACCATACTTTCTGAATCCTTTCTAAGAACTCACATAGAACTCTCATATTTCTCTCGTAGAAGCTCTTTATCTCTCAGAATAAAATATAAATCATTAGCATTCGACATACAAAACATCTAATATCTATATACTAGTAAAACCTGACAACCTACGATAAAGGTAGGAGATGAGAATCTTCTAGATAATCTCCAGATTCGAAAATCAAATCAAATCCATGACTTATATGAATTAATTCATTACAGATAAACACCATATCTGAGATAAATATGGAATAGATCTGATAGGATCTTTAGTAAAGCTTCTTCAACGAATATTCTGATCTCTTCAAGATTTGGACTCCAACTGATGAGACATCTTCAATTTCAACTGATGAGAATCAGCTTCAAGATCAACTGATGAGAATCAAGTTTAGCATCAGTGGATAGAATTAACTTTAACATCAGTGGATATAATTAACTTCTACATCAGTGGATAAAGCAGCTTCCTCTTCGGTGGATAAGAATCGACTTCAAATTAGTGGATAATAATCAACTTCAAATATCAGCAACTTCATATAACTTCACCAACTTCAGATACCAACTCCAAATTTGTTCAGCTATGGCAGCTTAGTTCTGGTCTTCAGTCTTTAGTAGAGCAGTAACACGTGTCTTAAATATTAGTCTTGTACTCTCAGTATATGTCTTCAGAATAAATAAATAATAAGCTTTGACAGTTCAACTTGCCTTAGTTGTATTATTTGCATTTGATTATACAAGACTCACCGTCAACATTAAATAATATAGTTATAAAACTATGTACATATTTTGCATCATCAAATGTATACAATATGGCACTAACATAACATCCTATTTTTAGGCTAGGAGTTTTGACGTTTAAAAAAATAAAAATAAAATAATAATAATAATAATATTCAAATTTAAAGAAATAAAATAAATATTTAAAATATATAAATAAATTAAATAATTGAAAACTTGAACAAATGATTAAAATAATAATAAAAATCTTATTGCTAGTTGATATTTAGAAAATAATAGAGTTTTAATGTCTAACGACGTATTTTTGTTAGAAGGGCTATTTAAGTTAAACGGGTGGAACTAATGTTTGATTAAAGAGTAGACCAACTTACTGACTTGGACTAAGTTTGTGAAGGGTAGGATGAAGATGGACCATTTTGGAAGCTATTAGAAGTCATTTAGTTAGTTTGGAGTCATTTTGAATGAGCTTTTATAAGGAGGGAGTATATATGACTTATTGAAAACTTAGCAAACATAAAATCTTCGATCGATCATGTATGAATTTGTAAAATCGAGATCATTCCTTGAACAGATCGCTTAGATCTTCAAGGTACTGCTCTGATAAATTTGTTAGGATATAAAGCTCGAATTTGAAATACAAAAATTAAGAACGAAATAATCGAGGTTTTTATGCATTAAAAATGATTTTGGTGTAAAAACTACATTTGGTTATTGTAAGGAAAATAAAAAAAATGATCTACATAAAGTTAACCCTCAACTCACAACTCTCTTTATGAACTATATTTCTAAACACATTTAAAGGCTATACGAAGTGTGTAGGAGGTTTTTATGCATTGAAAATGGCCATATCAACCATTTATCGTCTCCATTAGTTTGTTACAAGCCTTAGGAAATGGTAGAGAAGAAGTGAGGAAAGGAAAATAAGAGAGAGATAGCGAGAAGGAGAGGAAGGAAAGAGATTGTGGAGGGATGTGACTTTGGCTACGAGAGTTCATAATTAAGCAAGATGAGGTTGGTGTTGGAAGGATTCATACGATGACATTGGGTGTCAAGTCACCTAACACGTGACTTTCCTTCACCATTCCATATAGCCTAACAAATAAATAAAGCATGACGATATATAGGTGTGTAAAAGTTAAAAAGAATATTCTCCATATACTAAAAACATATTCATAGCCTCTTTTGTTATTCTCATGAAAAACTTTGCACCCAACACATCAAATCAACACATCAAATGTTGATGAAAAATATTTCTCACCTATAGATTAAGATTCAAGTCCCATCAGAAACAATGAGTAGAATAAAGTACAATAAGTTGAATAAAGGGCATTAGCATGTCTACCTTTCTCAAAACAAATAGCTATTTGATTTATATAAGCGACACAATATTAATTCTCTAAATAATAAGCATAAGCGACACAATATTAATTCTCTAAATAATAAGCAATTGCACATGATAATAGTATGGACAGCTATTTTATCGAGTTTTTAAGGTAATTTACTAATTTATGAGACAAACCATCAAATACAAAGGCTGTTTCTTGTAAATTATATAATTAGTCCACCACTCCATTCCATTTAATGATCGTTGACTTTGATCGTTCCCGGCCGGTTTTTACGTACGCATCTTCAGTATTCAATATCACCAGATCGGAAAACTTTTCTCCTTGCTCAAATTGAGCTCTTACAATCCACCAGCTCCTTTCGCTTCATCGGGGGCTCTTAGGAGCTTGAAACCTGACTTTCCGGAACAGGGTCAACCCTTGGCGGCCGGTGAATATGAAACTGAAGCACAGGCGGTGCTGAATGATGAATTCTCCGTCTCACCTCCACAACATACAGCTGTACGTCAACAGGAGGACTCTATTAATTATGGACTTCTTGGTAACGATGATTGGGATGAAGCATCTGGTCGTAATGGCAGTTTTGCAGATTTCGTGCGAGAGAACAATTCTTCATATTGCGTCGTCGATCCATATACCAATGAGGAAGCCCCGGGACACACATACTTTGATCAACGACATCGAACTAACAACAACGAATCATCCACTAGTATTCTGTACTTCCAACTGACTCCATTTTGTCATTTTACTCAATGCCTATGTATTTGAACAGCCGAAACTCAATTAACCCTCTATCTGATTTTTTTAATAATGTAGTTTTCCTGTTGACATGCATATGAACAGGGGCTTAAAAGGAGAGCATACAGTGAAGCAATTACGACTATCAAAGGCTCTGACAGTACGTGAAACCACAACAATTTACGAAGCCTGCCGTCGGATGACTGCTCGGAGAACTGATGCTGTTTTACTTACTAACTCAGATGAGTTACTCAGTGGTATATTGACAAACAAGGTTTGTCTTAAATCATCAGACACATTTTATTATCAAATCAACATTTTACAGAACAGAGATTGTTCATTAGGATAAATTAAGGAAGGTTTTTTTTGGGGTGTTTACAGGATATTGTAAGAAGAGTTATTGCTGCTGAGATTGATTTTGTGAACACACCTGTCTCGAAGGTGATGACAAAGAACCCAAAGTTTGTGCTCTCTAATACACTGGTTGTGGAAGCACTGAATACGATGCTGGATGGTTTGTAACAATTAGGAAAAGTTTCCGGTTGGTTTGTTATATATCCTTCTAACTAAGCCATTGAATTAAATTATGATTTATGCATGCATGCAGGGCAATTTGGACACTTGCCTGTTGTAGAGAATGACGTGGTTATTGGGCTACTTGACATGGCAGCTGCTGTGAAACGTTTAAATTTAAACCAGTTATAGAGAATGTTAGATTATAAAGCTGCAACTTAATCAGTATTTGATTTCTCACTGTTTAAATTCGAGCCTCTGTCGTATTGTATGTTGTTGACATGAGAATTCATGAATAAACAAATAAGATCACATCTATATCTCTCTTTATCGAATATTATTGGAGTTACACATTCTGTTAATCAGAGTTAGTTAGTTGGCACCATGGTTAGTTAGTTTAGTTAAGATTCAATTAAATTAACTAATATTGTTAGATGGTGTATAATAGCATTAGTTGCGTAGCTTTATCATTCTGTACATATAGATCCTTTTGATGCTTTATGGAATAAGAAGTTTCATTTTCTCTTTCATTTACTCTGATAATATTATGGTATCAGAGCTTGAAGCTTCCGCAAACTCTTTAATGGCGTAATTCTTCCGTTGTCATAATTTGAGTTCTTTTTTGATAAGATGTGAGAACAAGATTGACATAGCTGACTGATATTAACACACAGGTTGTTTGGAAGTTAATAATTTTATTCATACTAATGCACTCCTTAGATAGGGAACACTAAGAGCTGGAAATAACAATAAACTTCATAAAAGAAACGCTAAAACAACTGCAAGGCCTGCCCTTGCCAAGTTCAAAATGTATTCAAGAACAGGGCCTAAAATAGGAGGACCCAAAATTTTTATAGCTTTTATGTTACCCTAGGTTTAGTTGGCCCAAAACAGAAAAACAATTAGGTTATATTATCACCTGAGAAGTGAGGCCACGAGTTGGAAAAAGGGAAAATTTCTGGAAAAGAAAAATGCTTTGATTTCTACAAAGGAATTAAATCTGCAACGATATTGTTTGCTTAAATCTGCAAAGCTAAGATCAATCTTCTTCTTTCATCTTTCTTCATGAAATTCTGAAACAAAGTTACAAAACACAAAGACAAAACTGTAAAAATGGTCCGTGTGGTTTTGCTGAAAATTGACACTTGTCCAAAAAGGTTTGGACTAGCACCATAGATCCAAAGTTTTTATTTTGTTGCAAGTTTGCTCCAAAGGGTTAACCTCCGTCAGTTCCCCCCATTAAGGTATGTTTGACTTGTCAAATTAGAGGTATTTTGGTCATTCCCTATTTTTCCCTCTTTTCTTTTTTTATTTTTTTTTAAATATTAATAAATGAGAGTACATATCTAATTAGCGCCATACGGATAATATCGAGCCTCCTTCGTATTTATAGTCCTTAATAATTGTTAGTCAATTCAATTTTCGTCGTCATCGATTGAGGATCAAGAACCCTAATCTGATTAGCAAGGTTGTGAGCTTCGATCAGACAGGTTTCGTAGTGAATGCATATATACCAATATGGCACTTAAGGTTTTCAAACACGTCATTCAACCCAATGGTGATATATGGTACGTAATTTTGTTTTTGCTCATTTACTTGCATTTTTTGTGAAATCATCTCTTCTGAAATTTGTTTTTTGTTATTGTCTTGAAGATGGACACTCTACACTGTTTACCATCAAGCTACATCATGGAGGCGAGTTCACAAAGTTTCCAGATGTCAACTACATTGATGGTACTGTGATGTATGCTGATATGGTAGATATAGAAAAGTTTTCTATTCATGAGATGGATGCCATTATGAAAGGGTTAGGATATTCAGTTCCTCCTGTTATCTATTATCATTTTCGAGTGCCTAAGGGAGACATGCATTTTGGATTACGGGCCCTACGAAATGATGATGATGTTTGCAATCTTTCCTAATATGTGAAGGAGCATACACTGATAAGGATTTACACTAAGCATGGTATGACTAACTTGCTTACGTTATAGCTCCCAAACCTGTAAAAAAGTTATTATAGAAGAATTAGATGAGATTGAGGAACATGGACCCCCCTTCCCCCAACTGATAACCAACCCAATGGTATGCCACAAAGATGCACATCCCATGTTATACATATGGTATGTCAATATCACCAACAAAAGCTTGAATTGTAGACAATGAAGCTGCTTTAGCCTTGTCAATATCCCCTGAGTATAATACGCAAAGAGATTGGATCAAGGACAAAGCATTATCATCATGTAGTAAGAAATTAGCCATGGATGATGTTGGTGCTGCTAGGATTGTTGGGTATAAGGATTATGCACCGAATGATATTGATCAGGGATCTAATTAATTTGATAAGGCAACTAATGACTTTGATCTTGGATTGTACCAACAAATTTTATAGTCAAATTCTGCAGTTAATATGGAAGTCAATGAAGAAAACGAAGTTCATAAAGGGAAAGAATTCAATGAAATGAATGAATTCAGTGAAGAGAATGTAGATCATGAGGTCAATGAAGGTGATGACAACGTAGACATGAAGGATTATTGTAACATCCTGTTTTAAGAAGTTTCTTATTTTGGGATTATGGACAATAAATAGATCAAATAAAGGCCTTGGGCTTCAAGGGAATAGGGATTATACCCTATTGGATGTGGATAATATTGGTTATGTGATCCAAGCTCTTGGTTTGTGTTTTGGAGTCAAAGGGTAAAATGGAAAAAGTGATGTTTCAGACTTCTTTCATGAATTAAGGATTTTAGTTTGGTATGTTTTAAGTCAAAAGTAATTAGATAGGATTCTGGGGCTCTTCAATACCTTTTTGTGCATATAAAGAACGCCGAATACGGAGTTGAAACGAAGAAGTTATGGTTGTTTGAAGTTGAAGTGGAAATTGAGGATTTTTGGATTATGCAGGGCGTAACTAAAAATTACGTAGTGGGTAACGGGGGTTTAATGAATTATACATGGCCTAATTTATGTTACGGATGGCGTAATCTGGGCTGATCAAACCCCTAACTCTTTGGTTTTGAGCCCTACTTAAGGGATCTAACTTATGAAAAACCCTCTCATTACCAACCTCCATCACCTAAGATCATTCCTTGAGAAACCCTAGCCTCCCCTCTCTTGTTTTTGAGCCTTGGCATCATTTATGAGCTTATTTCTCCGTTGGAAGGTTGAATCTTGAAGAGCAAGGTGGTGAAAAAGTGTATAGAAGAAAAGTTCAAGTATAGATCCAACACGATTACATCATTCCTGGACTATTTTGAGTAAAAAGCTTCTAACATGGTCATTGGTTTCATAGATCTAGGTATTTGTCATATTTGCCACTTTTTGGTCATTTTAGTGTATAAAGCTTAGATCTTGAAAGTTTGTGACCTTGTTATGGATAAAGTTAGAAACTTTATCCATCTAAACATCATAATGATTTAAATTTGAAGGTTGGAGACGTAGACTTAATGGATTATGATGAGAAAGATGCATTTTTGTTCTCTTTGAGAACTAAAGACTAGATCTTGGTTGTTTGGACCATCCTAATGGATAACATTGGAAACTTTATCCATTATGGAGATATTAGGAACCAGATCTAAGCTTTGAGTGAAAGGTCTTAATGAAATAAGTGCTTAATGTGAGTATTGGAGCCTGTGACAATACGTCGTGTATAATTCAGACTACGCCCCATGTAGCTTGTTAGAGACCTGTTTTTCTAAATTAAGGCTCTATGCCCAAAGTAGAGTTAGAGTACACAACGCGTAGGTCAACAAAAGGTTGACCGTTGGCTTTTTGACCTGTTTGACTTTTGGTCAAATATGAGGGGTTTAAGACTTGGAAGGGAAAAATGGTCTTTTGCACAAATAAGGGTTAACCTTAATATTTAGGACTTTCTAAGTTGGAAAAATTAACTTAATTGTTAATTAGGGTTGGTTTGGATATGTTTAGTGTGAGGAGCTTTTGGTAGCAGCAACTCGAGTGTGAGTTTTATCCGGCTACCGATCGAGCAGCAACTCGGACCGAAGGCACCAATACCAGCACACTGGATTGTGTTATGTAGAATGCTAACTATCTTTGTGACTCTTACAAGTATGATTGGGTTGAAATACACCTCATGGCTGGGAACATTATTGTATGTTTGGGTTGAAATAAACCCTAAGGTTAGGCCCATTATTGCATGTTCGGGTTGAAACATACCCCAGGGATGGGCCCATGATTGTATGCTGGGTTGAAACATACCCTAGGGTTGGGCCCATAATTGTATGTTGGGTTAGAATATACCCCGGGGTAGGGCCCAATAATCAGTACGACATGTGGTAGTTTGGGGAACTCACTAAGCTTTGTGCTTACGATTTTTGTTTAAAATGTTTCAAGTACTCCTTGCTACAAAAGAAAGGGCCCGACTTGATCGCACTGCATCCCCTGTAGATTTATTCTGCACTGAATATTTACAAATTACTCTGATGTTTTGTGAATAATTTGACTCTGATCGTGTTTTGGAACAATAAATGAATGGTTTTAACTTATTTAAAAATGAAATTTTTACTCGGTATTTTGGGGATGTTACAAGTTGTTATCAGAGCCTTAGTTTGAGGGATTCGGACACATTCTCAGGTGTGTCTAAACACAAACTGAGGATTTATAAATCCTCTTAAAAGAAATTGATTTTCCAAAAATGTTTTATAAAGGAAAGGGGTGTGATGCGTGCAACCAGTCGAGTTCAAATAAGTGGTTCCCAAAATACCCATACTTTTTGATATGTTATATGTGTTATAGTATGATATGTATACTTGAAGTTAGAATAAGGATTTTCTCACGTTTGCATGCTAGAATGCTTGCTTAGGAGAGATGCCTTTTATGCCTGATAGTGATTAGGCTAAGGATACCTTCACGAATTATATGATAGAATGACCTAATTTGCGATGCCTTATAGCTTATGAGGAATTGGATGTTGTGTTAGATTTTGAATCTATGTTGGTGGAATTGATTGCTAAGTGTATGCTTTAAGAATCATATACGATTAGGATCATATAGCCCTAGAAGGGCTGATTTGACATTATTTCTTGTTCCTTGACTGATTTTGGGCTTAGGGTAGAATCATTCACTCGACAGTCTATGTGATCCCGTTTTGTGTATAATCTGCATGCAAAAGGCAACCAACAGTGTTGGTAAAAGTTCCTCGCATCGCAGAAGCAAGTTAGTTAAAGGATGCCTTTATATGTTTTGTGGCCTATATAGTGTTACTTCCTGAATGTTGTTTGCTTTGTGAAACATCCCAAAAATTTCGTTTGAAATCATTACTAAAACCATAATATCCAAATATCATATAAGAAAACCATAAGTCGTGTGTCTCAAAATGTCATAAAATATGTCTCATATCACAACTGATGTCAAATCATGTCAAAA